GGAATAAATATTAGAAATCTTATATTTAAAATACACCCCTATCCCACTATGCTAGCCAGAAAGTTAATAATATCTAAATTCATATTGGAGCCAACTACTGCCTGACAAAGTAAGCACCATTTCAGCAAAACCAAACCTACGAAGTACAATTGTTTTGACACGTACCAAGTTCTGTTTCTGTAAAACAGTTGGTTAAGCAGAGGTCAAAGCAGCACTGTTAAGGAACTTGAGGTTTCTTACAGTGGCTGCACACACGATTGCTGAAATGCTAACAATGCAAAGCTGCTAGAAAGCTACTTTTCACCAGCATTCAGATGTCTCATATCAGGTATTCCTTTCTCCTGCCCTACTATTTGCCTTGCAGCCTGTTCTCCAACCACACATGCAGGATGAGGCTTTTTCAAGGTCTGGAGATAGTCTTGTTATTAGAACAAGAACAAGGCATCAGCATCTGTCCGTAAGCTACAAACATCTGATAAAAACACCTTGCAAAAATAAATACGTATGTATAAATTAAAAGCAAGCAAAAAACCTCAACATTGTTATAGCAAAAAACTGAAATTGAGACCCGAAAAGGAAGATGTGACCAAGTGCAGAAGCTTTTCAGTAGAAGAACATTTTGAGGCCTCAGGAACTATGTCACCAGATGGGTCTGCTACGTTGCAGCAAGTAGGTGGCAGCTGAACTAGGAAACTGTTGCAGGACATTAGTCCTTTTGAAGAAAATCTTACACTGTACACCTGGGTAAGATGCCAATTCTAACCCAAAGAATTGTCAGAGAAGCAGTTTTAGCAAAACTTACAAATTACTTAGGCCTTGCCCAGTCACAACCCCCTTCTCCCAAGGACAACGGGCACTGTTCTAAAACAAGAGACATACAAAATCCAGAGTACTTGTAACTGCTTACAACCTGCTTCTCTGTCAAGCTATGAACCTGTCCCTCAAATTCCTTTCAGGTGCTAAGAATTCCCACTAATAAGCTACTTATATTTCTCTATGCAGATTACCTGGCCAGTGCAGCCCAGCTGTATCAAATGCAGAGAAGCTTCACACACCAGCAAAGAGAAGATGGATGTAGTTTCCTCTGGCTTTTTTTTTTTTTTTTAATTTAGCTTGGCAGGTCAGGGAAGACATGACCTTAATTACTTTGAGTGTAACAGGGCTCATTTCTGCAGGAAGGTCCTTAGATCACTACATGGAACTTCCTCATTAGCAGCTTTAAAAAAAAAAAAAGACTAGATCAAGGTACAAACGATGGCTAGAAACATACAGAGATGCTTTATATACCCTCTCTCTTGTTACAGGCTGGCTTCTTTAAAAACATTTATCAGTAACACTACTGCACTACATATGAGTTCTGTATAGACTCCACAACTTTCACTCCTAGCATAATTTTATTATTGCCATCCAAAGAGCTACTGTTTGCTGAGCCACCATCACGTTACGGTAGAGTCAATAAACATTTTCTAAAAGCATTTAAGGAATTTGTGAATTTGCATAAAATAAGAGTTCAATACAGGTAAAGACCGATCAACTATGATAAACTAACGATAAGCTTTTTTTATTAAATAGAACTAGTGAGCAAGAAATTCAAATAATCCATAGGCCTTCAAGGAGTTCAGCATACTTAACAATTACTACACTTTTGCTATGCGCTTGCAGCAATTGTGGTGTATAAAATACTGCTCTGTATGAAGCAACTTCAGTTTTCAGGCTGACTTCTTCAAGTAATTTATTCATATGTCTAGAAGGAAGAGGAATATATTGCAGCATAAAAACAGCGCTCTGATCATCTGAATGTGTTGTGCAAATGTTTGGAAAACAACTCCAATTACGAGTGCAAATCAATATAATATCTGAGGCAAAGATTGCTTTTTAATCTGCTTGCAGTGGTATTTTTTTCTTCTATACTTTCGTTGAATACATCCATTAAAAAATCCAAACTGCACTGAATACGGGATGGCTGAAGGGAGTATCTCTATACATTGAACTACACAAATATCTAAAACAGATAAAGCTTTGCCTAAAATTCTACAGCCTTCTCCAACAGCTTCTAAAGTATAGAAGTCCCTAAGATAAAAATCAAGACACCGAATCTAAAATACAGTTTCTTCTATGTACTGACAAGCAGAACAGTAAACAACACGCCAGCAACCATAAAAGCAGTAACAAAATCCAATTATCGATTAGCTTTTTCAGACACAGCTTTAAATTATTTCTGGCTGCAAAACATATTCCAATTTTACCAGCCAACATCAGAACTGGAAGACAGTAATCTTCTTGGGCTTCTGTTTCCTGAGATTAATCTTACCTGAATGCAGAAACCTGATGCAGAAAAGTTATTTTCCCGATATCCTTCCACCCACAGCAGTAAGAGTGCTTCTGACATAATTAAGACTTTCTTGAAAAAAATGATTCCCCAGGAGAGAGGACTATGCAGCTCAAACCTCTTCCACAGGGACCACAACCTCTGCTACAGCTGTTTGTAAATCCCCTCACTCCGAAGTCTCACCTGTGTCTGCAGCCAGCCTTAAAGAACCAGTATCATGTCTTACACAGGGCATATTGATTTCATTTGCAAAATAAAACTTAAAGATTTCCCCAAAGCACAACAATATAAACATGAATTTCAAATGCTTTTGTACCATGACTAATGTAGAATCCAATCTCACCGACTTTTTTAAGAGTCTTTATTGTTCTGTGTACAGATAAAAATGTTTTGAGAGGGCTTAGGACATATTGCAAAAACAAAGCAGTATTTAGTGGCTTGTTCTCTCTTTCTGGTGCCGGATACACATCCCCATTTGTTAGAGTCCACATTATTCTACCTGCATAGTCATAATACATGTATCAATCTGATACATTCAGTAATCTTCTCCAAGTAAGCACTCTTTTTTGGACTTAATTGGAAAATTTTCATTAGCAAGTCGGCTAATGTAGGCTCTAGTAGGCAGTCTCCTGAAGCAAGTCCTTTCTCAGTAAGATTTATTACTGGAGTGTGTCTTAGTTCTTGTCCACACGCCACTGCAATCACTCAGAATCTCAAAATGCTATAGGTAAGTTCCTACAATCATATCATGTCATACAATCATAGGATCGCAGGATAATGCTGTTCAAAAGGAAGCTCAGTCCCCATCCCCCTGCTCAAAGCAAGGGTAGCTGTGAGCTCAGACCAGGCTGCTCAGGGCTTTCTCTAGTTGTGGGAATGAAAAGTACAAACTAATCTTACCTCTGTCCCAGGGCAGATCAGCTAAGCTGCTGCTGGCATGTTAGTGTAACATAACCTTGAATTAGAAGACAGCATAGAGAAAGGAGTTCCAGCTGCTTCAGGTTTTCATTGATGGTCATTTTAATCAAGGCTCTTGGTAACTCATGTTTTTCTTCTTTGGACTGTCTTCTCTCAATGGTTCAAATCTTTGGACTCAGTGGACAACATATAGAAACAACCTGCATACCAAGAGGAAAAAAGGAAATTCAGTCCATAACCTTGATTTCTGCAGGTGAATTTCCTAAAGGAAGTATATTATGGATTTTTCTGACCAACAGAAAAATTTCTCCACAGGAAGAAATATAATTGAATCAGGTTTCTTTAGTAAACATCATAATGTATGTGTATAAAATGACAGTGGAGGCACATATGTTGTATATTCACTTTCTCACTTCAGCTCTGGCTAAAGTATTTGGTATATATATGATTGACATTTTGATTCCCACATGCGTCTGACAAGCTTCCTGCAAAGTTACAGGTACTTTTTTCTAGCTATGCAATTAATCCAGCGAGTTGGCCCACTCAGTAATTACTGTAAAGTTCTCTTAAAACTTATTTGGAGTAGCAGATAATTTATATTAAATCTGGAAAGTAATTTACTTACAGAAATTTTGACTGAAACTTATAGCTTGTGAGGTTATTAAAGATCATCTTATTTTTTCCTTAGCTATGAGGCTATTTTGTACATTGCTGAGTACCCCAAAACAGTATTTAATACATTCCCTGTTAAAATACTCTGTCAGCATTTAATTTTCCTCTTGTTTATTAGATCTCCATAATAATAAGTGGTGTCTTGTGTGTGAAATGTTTGTAGATATGACCACAGAAAGTGATATCAGCTGCATGCACTAATAGAGATCTGGCAAATGCTATTATTAGATTTTCTGAAAAAAAGCAGTTTCCATCCATATTTCTTCCACTAATTTACCAGCATAAGATATCATATATGCTTTCTTCTTCAGTCACACTGGAGTGCCATCTGGGTAAATGTAGTGGTACAGACTCATTACCTCTGAGCAATACAAAATTAGCATATTAACTTATTATTTGTTAACGAAAAATTAAGTTTCATTGTATCTTCATTGCTTTTTCTTCAGTATAGTTGATATGATCTCTTGCCACATTTTAAAACAGTATAAGAAATAATTGGCACCTCATCCAAACCAAAATAAGGTACCAAGCAGTATTCAGCCAACAGAGAAAGCCTGCTTTATGGAAGAAAAATTCTTTGGAGGCAACCTAATACAGAAACTACATCCCTGGTTCAGGATGTCCCTGAACCTTGAAAGTTATCGTTACAGAGATGCTTTGCTTCTAAGAAAACATCTGTTGTTTTGTCCATTGTCAAGGAAAGAAAGGACTCTCTGCTGTGGACCTTTCTGTCTGACACGTGTGGTTCTTCTTTTGCAGTGTCTCCCAATAAAATGTGTGCTCATCCATCTGGATGATGGGATGTACTTACACTGTTGTACAGACAGGGAGAAAATGGGACCTCATATATGTTAAACAATGAACAACTAGGTGGAGGTACTATCTGTATTCCCTTTGCATTAAGAGAGAGCCCTACATAAACATCTCCCAAATATATATATTTAATCATTACAGAAGCATTGACAATTTTTGAAGCCAGGTCTTCTGAAAAGAAGTGACCAGTTCCTGAACAAAAAGGATGGTATTTGTCATCACCTAGGTATTCTGATATGTAGTGTTTACTTATTTTATTCATATAGGCTTATGCCCTTTCATAAGACGGCCTGTGGAATAATTTTGTGGAGGAGGTGAAAAATAATTTCATGAGGAGGAGCTTTTCTATTAGGTATATTGTATTAACAAAAACATCACTGTCTGGCTTCATAGCAAAGCTTACGCCACTGCAATAAGAGGTAACCCATTTCATGCCCGTCAAAGTTTTAAGAGTTAAGTTATGGTAAGTGTCCAGGAAGTCCCGTTGAATAGTATCATGATATTGCTTGCTTTCTCTCAGTAGGACCTCAGTTGGACCCTTGCTCTCAACGTCCAGCATAAACAATCAACTGCTGCAACCACTGATTCATTCCCCAAGTTTTTTGTGCTGAATTTCAGCAGCTGCAGTTGTTACTAGCAATATCAAGAAAGGTGTTTTATCTTTACACTTCTCTTTATCATTAATAATGAATTAAATGACCGTGTTAAAGGAGATCTGGTTTTATTCCCAAATTTCTCATTTTCAGGTGGTCATTCTCAGTTTTTCTTTCCATAAGAATTGTTTGAAAACTGAAATAATGTTCTTATGTAAAATAATTTCGCTTTCCATCTGAAGATTATCATACCTTTTGGTAAAAAATATATCTCTCTTTTTCTACATCATCGTTGTTTTGAACTTTACTTTCAGTTAGAACAGCAAGGTAATCAGAAGTAAAAGAACAGAAAATCAAATATATTGCCGTAAAAGAGATGGAGGCCATCAGGAAAACATTTTTTTGGTCACAGTCCCAAGGAGAGGAGAAGAAACCACTGTAGTAGTTCATGTTGGCAGCTTTGAGATGATGCACAAAAAGCTATCTTTTAATCAGACAGATATTTTGTCAGAAGAGCAGTTAATTTGTAATTGTTTTCCTCAGTGACACAGGAAGATAAAAGCCATCTGCAGGCTTCTGATTTTCAGGCTTTCTTTTTCTGTTTTGTTTTGATTTAATTAAAAGTATCCCATTATTTCATCTTAGAATAAATTGTAAAAATGTTCATAGAAGCAGAAAAAAGAAAAAATCTTTAAAAAATTTTCATTATTTCATTTTCAGGCTTTTCTTTCTAAGAGAAATACAGGATGATAAATACAGTAAGAAATAAATAAAACTAAGTAAATACAGTCTTAAAAATAATAATTTTCCCATACAGAACAGAACTTACTCAGATATATGTTTAAATATTGTAATATATGTAAAATATAAATGCGAATTTAATCCAATATTACATTCAATCTTTTAATATTTTTATATATATATATGCGCAATATACCTGTCAATCTTTCAGTATGGTTGTCTTCAACACTAATAGCAGAGTACTGAACAGATAAGAGGTATGGTAGAATGTAGAATATATATTCTATTTCAAATGCATCCTTTTATTAAAACATGCTAAAAAGATACACATTTAAAGTAAAGATTGTAATTGCTATTCCAATTGCGACAACATTGCCTTCTAGGTTGTAAAAACAGAAAAAAAAAATAGCTTAACTTCATGTAAGCTTTACAAAATGTTGTTGTGTAATTGAATAATCCAAAGCTAATGAAAGATTATGATTGATTATGGATTCATAGCCTTGGAGACCATTGTGATAAATCCCATACAGGTACCTTTGGCCATTTACAAGTTAGATACACGGTTGAAAGTGATAGTCTAGGCTGTATAAAATGCTAATACAGAGAGGTAGCATTTCCAAAGGAAAACTTAGCCATCAAAATACAGATGTCTTGCATGAGACACAGTGTCCCCTGCCAGCATCCACATCTGTAAAAAATGCTTAAGACAGCCGGCTTAGGCTAGATCCACAGGTTTTAAATGGCTTCAATCGAATGAGTTGAATCCCATTCTTCCAGACTGCAAGGACAGGTGAAACATAAATACTGAAACAATGAAAATACTGTAGCTTTGGGTAGTTTTTTGTGATTTCCATGATAGCTAGTTTCAAATTCTGGCTTCCTTGGACTCAGTGATACAGAAATTTGTCTAAGCCTTGGAGATGCACCATGGTTTGCAGGGAGAGGGAGATAATCACGTATATCCAGCACATTACAGACTGGTAACACCCAAGAATGCTATCTGGAAAAAAATGCAAGTTAACTGTATTAAATTGCTTTTCACAAACTGGTCACTGAAGGGTTCTCTATGTGTATTTCAAAGTGAGCTGCAAAAGTATAGTAAGTCAGGGGTTTTAAGACTTTTTGTGCCAAAATGCTACTTGACAGATGCAATAGCTCACAATGAAAAAGCAAAATTCAACACTTTTTGCCATCATCTTTGAAAGTGCAGATTCATCCCAGTCATACAACCATGGTATTTTTGGAACAGATTCTTCAGTAGTTTGTTGCTGCTTCACAAAGAAATGACAGATTTAAGAGAACTGAAAAAGAGTCAGGCATCCTATCTCTGTGCCCATGGAGAACCTGAGGGCAAGCTTACAGGCAGCTGAGGTTCTGTTCTAAGCCTCTTCAGAGGGATTAGAAATTAACACAAAGGAAAATGCACCAGGACATCCACCATTCTATTTGAAAGGGAAAAAAACATTCTATTACTTGTAGTGATACAGAGACAGTCTATAAAATGAGGTTGGATTTAACCATTTTAGAATATGCAATAGAAATGTAAACTAAGACATTAACTTGTGCTCAAGTATAATTTAATCTGGATAAAATAGATGTCGATTAATCTGAATGCAAATGTGTGATGATTACCCTTTGCCAGCATCCAAACACCCACCCAGCTGCTCACCCACTTTCCCCCTCCTCAACAAGACAAGGGGAGGAAACAGGATGAAAACACTTGTTGGTCAAGATGAAGACAGGGAGATCACTTACCAGATACTGTAAGGGCAAAACAGACTTGGGGAAATTAATTTAATTTATTGCTAATTAAAATACATTTGGATAGTGAGAAACAAAGACAAAAATTAAAACAATACCTTCCTCTGTCTTTCCCTGGGCCCGACTTATCTCCTTTACCTTTCCCCCCAGCAGCAGAAGAGGACTGGGGGTTACAGTACCTCCCTGCTCCTCCGCCTGTTCTGAAACATCTGCTCCAGTGTGAGCTCTCCAAAGGCTGTGGTTCCTTCAGGAAATGTCTAGCTGCTCTAGGTTTGAGAGAAAAAGGATGTAAGCATATTCTATTATAAACTGGTCAGTAGTTCAACTAACACAGCTCACATGTATCATACACCCACCAAATATCAAGAACACAGTGAGTAATGACTTAGCTTGGCATATTTTTAATTCTTTAGAAAGTCTGTGTTTTAGCCTATTAATATTTTAAATATCCTGTATCCAAAACCCAAAGTAAATATAAAGCTAACAGAAATGTAGGTGGCACCACTTCAGAAGGTGAGAGACCTTTCTGTATCCACTAATTGCTTTGCTGCTATTTGAAATACGAGAACTTCAGCACATGTAAATATGAGACCAAAAGGTAACTTCTAATATTAGACATGTACTTCTGCATGGCACATTTCTTTAAGCTAAAAACATTTTGTGAAAGTCTTTTTTGAGTTCTGTGCAATTCTATTAGATTAAATTCTTGTTTCATTGTGGAAAGAACAGGAACTTTTAAGACGACTTTTCTAACAGGTAGCTAACGTATTTATTGTTTCAAGTTTGACAGAGTTATTACAAGATAAGCAAATAATTCATGTTGCAGAAAAGCAGACAGCATGTATATCTGAAAAATTAATTATAGTTTGTCTTTCTAACAACTTTTTAAAATGCCAAGAAGCTCTCAAAATACAATCCTCCTTTTCCATTAAAATTATTCCTAGAAAAATAACCAACATATTTTGAAAATAAATTCTTACCCACAATAATTACCCACACTGTTTAACTAAAACAATTACAATTCATAAAAGCTTTTTTTTTAAAACCAACCATGTTGGAATAATAGCTGCCATGTACATTAAGTTGCCTCAGTGACACACTGATTATTCACATACGCATGTGCTTAACTTCGTGCAGAATTTAGCGTTACATCAGATACGCTGAAAGAAGCCAGAATTAGGCCTTATTAAAATAATAAAAAGGAGGACAAAGAATAGAAAGGAGTAGAGAAAAACAGAAAAGGAATTAGAAAAAAAAAAGAAAGGAGGTAAATATGGTACTTTTTGTTGCCACTCCTGCTAACATTATGTTATCTTTTTCTTACTTGTTTAAAAAAGGCAGACTTGACAGGTCATGAGTGAAAATTTGTCTCACTAGGTTCTAATTCCACCCTGTCTCATCTCAGATTTTTGGAAGAATTTCAAAATAAGACAAACCAACCTCTCACATTCTAGCAATCCTTTGATATTTTCCCAGATTCTTGAAGTAATGACTTTTAAAGTCCAGTCCTTTCAAGGGGGTCACAGAAATGGCAAACTGCAAAGTAATCTTTCGAGAAAATGATATATGTGTTTGAAGATGCAAACTAAAAGCTGCCAGAGAGCATAGGATAACCAATTGAATTTTGAATTGCCAGTTGGTACAGGTCACAGCATCTTGACTAATTTGATTCAATTTAGTTAAGCTGACTTTTAATTGAATAGACTAAACATACATAAAAGGATGAGCTGGGAAGTGAGAGAAGAGCAGGAGACCCAAATAATTGCCTAAAATAAAGACAGCCTCTCCTGGAGAGCAGCTCTGCACAGTGCTTTGCCATCTCGTTGCAGTCCTTCTGGCTCAGCAGAAAGCAATCTTTTGTGAAGACTAGACTGCAAAAAGTCCCAGTGCCCACCTTGGGCTTGATCTGTAAGAAGTCCCAGGGATGACCACGTTGTTAGTGAGACGAATCCATAGCCATTTCACCCCTCTTTTTCAAAACCTGCATCTCATTTCAAACCTACGTACAACCACAATATTTGGAGGACTAGTTTGGACATCTCAGTGACACTTGCTCTCAGTGGTACAAAAGGAAGCAGGGATATTGCAGTTTCTGTATTTGAAACAAGATCTACTAATTTATTCTCGGGTTACAGGTGAAAAAAAGCTTTCTTAAAGGCACGTAAGGACCAGAAAGCTAGTTCTACTCCCTTTTACCAGCACCATTTGGCCTCCCAGAGAACCCAGGCAATTCTGCTTTCGTTTACACATATAAACTCATCCAAATGCACACTGCTGAGGCTTGAGTTGAATCAGTGGAGAAGGAAGTGAGGAGGAAAAAAATTTTGTCTTGGTATGTATTTTTGGAAAGATGTGCATTCAGGTATTTCAAAATTTGAAATAAGGTTTTATTTTGCATAAATGACTTGGCAAATGTATCTGTAAAACCACTTTCTCTTACAATGATTAAAGCAATTTGAACAGC